GCAGCAGGAGATTGTTAAAAGTGTTCTTCAGAAGTGAGATTAGGAAAATCATCCTGAACAAAATTAGAGTGTTTGCCGTTATCTCAACAGTATAACTGAGCCATTGTAATCCTCTGAGTGTTGGCTGGCGTGCTTTCGTTGCAGGTACGAGCCCCTGATGTTGAGAAAGCCTGATCGGCGGCGCAGTACTACCCAGACGTGGAGTTTTCGTGATGGGAAGCTGACCTGTGGTATTCATGGACTTGTTGTCCAGGTCAGTACGGATTATATGTTGAATTTATTCTGACTGTTGCTGATACAGATGACAGTCATTTGGGGTTAGTATTGACCTAAAAGCTTTGAGGCCAAAGTTTGGAATACAGAGGAAACCAGACTTGCGCAAACAGCTTGTGTGGGTTAAATTCATGTTTGAATGTTCTTATCAATTTCAAATAATTAAACATCCTGCACTGTTAATTTGAAAGTAAATAATTAAAAAATTAGTAGTAGATCATTGTTGAACACGAACAGTGTAGTGATAAATAGTGCCTTGATATTCTCACACACACCAAATATGAAAACACTGCAGACTGTGTCAGGATCACTGATGGAGGGCAAGATTTGTGTGTAACCGAGCACTTCTCAGAATCGTGGTTCTAACACTTCAGTAATAAGAATTCTAAAAGCAGTTTGAACTGTTTGCTGTTTCTTTGCATTGCAGGAAACTGAGTTACAGACAGCTAACGCTTGTACACTATTTGGTAATTCTGCCTGCTGATGGTAGAATTTGTAAGCACAAAAGCCTGGATTGCTTTTACAAATTCTAGAACTAAACATCAAAAGAACTTTGATTCTTCCACCCCCGACGTGTTCCAACTATATCCGTTGCTTACAACAAATCTGAATAAGTTACCCGCGTATTGTTGAAATAGCAAAGTATGTTTGTAATAAACAGTGATATTATTTCTAATGTTTATTTTGAAAAATAAATCATGCCAGCAATGGCAATGGAAATCAACCTCATTTCAGCGGAAAAAGTACCTTCACAGGGAATATGTTAGCTGTATGATGAAAGCGAGTCTTTTATGCGCGCAATGAATTTGGAATTGGATCTGTACGGTACAGAATGATAATATCACTTTGAAAATCCTGCAGATGGGACACCATCATGTTCTGTTCCACACACACACATCCCCCCTTCCCCTTCCTTCTCTTGTTTCTAAATCCCTTGTAAGTTGTTAGGGGTTTTTCCAAAACGTGTGCTTTGGATATTTCTTCATTTTAGAACAGGATGGCAATGCAGAAAACCAGCATCTCGGTCATTTTGTTCACTCTGTAACAGTGGGACGGTATGTGTCCTCTGAGAAACTGGAGATATCCTGCCAAAACCAATTTTGACGTTTCATATGCTTGCTGATGTAAGCAAGGGAGCAAGGAGGAAGAAGTATGGAAAATACTCTTCAAAGGCTTCACAATAACCTTTTAAGACTGTATTTGTAGTTCTGATTAATTCTAAAGGAATATAGTAGCCATGAAAGAATGTTCCTGCCTGCAGAATAGATACAGTAAGGATAGCAGTGTTCTTTTGTCACCTTTGATGCTGTGTTTCAATTGTAATACCAAAATACAGATCTAGAGAAAGTTGTTTGATTTGATCCCGTGATGTTGCATTGATCATTCAGTGATCATATTACTGTAGCTCAGTAAGTTGCTGCTTGTCAGTTTGAAGCAACCAAAAAGCCCTGCATTGCAGTTTTGAGATGTTGACTGAGTAAGGGTTTACATTCTCATCTGCAGACCCAGAGTTCATCTTTTAAAAAGCTTTCTGTAATTTTGAAAATATTTTCAGGAACGACTTCCCATCTTTGATCATGATAGCTTCAGTTTCTGAACGTGCAGTGGGAATACTTAATTATTCATCTTGGCTGTTTCTTCTAGCTGCCAGACTGATTAAACATGAGTTACCAGAAGCTTTAGTAATATCAAGTAAAACGCTGCTGGACTGCTTTTCTTTTAGTTCTGAAGAGTAAGAAATCTGTTAATTTGCCTCACACCCAGTGTGGGATGGAGTCTCAGAAGACTACTTCTTCAGCTGTGGAAGGAGAGGAAAGTAAAATACACTTTTAAATTAATGTATGTAAATAATTATCTGAAGCCTTTACCTACCACTTAATTTTTTTTTTTCCTTACTCTTATTTCTTTTTCTAGGCAAAGGGAGGAATACGAGGTCTTCATGATGGAGCAGAAGTTGTTCTTGGTCCTGATACTTCGCTTGAACTTTTGGGGCCAGTTCCACCTGAACAGCAGTTCATAAACCAGAAGATGAGGCCTGGGTCAGGAGTACTAGCTGTGAGAGTCATCCCGGATGGGCCGACTAGGGTTCTACAGGTGAAGGTCCTTCATCGACTAGAATCTAGTTTCATTATTTGCTTGTACTTGAAATACCTGCTTCTGTCTTGCATCTGTAAATTCTGACACAGAGTTAGTTACCTTTATAATGATTTGAAGGGGGAGGGGAATAGCACAAAAGAGAAATAATTCAAACATAAGTTTTCATTGTGCTTATTTTTAAAAAAGAATAATTTTGGAAGGTAGGACAATATAGATGTTATTTATAAATAGGAAAGTGATGGTTGTAGTAATTTATTTGTTTATCAGATAACAGATTTTAACCAACGTAGAAATGATCGTTTATCCAGTGAAGGAGGTGAACTTCCAGTTACGGAACAAGATCTGCGGAAGTTAAAAAATCCACACACAAAGCAGGAGTTAGAAGTAAGATATTACAACTGGTATCGGTCTCTTTTATTTATTATTTTCCTTTCTAGATTTTAGAGGGAGTCTGGGGGGGATTGGTCATGAAGTTTTCCCCATGATGAGCTCTTGTTATGAACTCGTAGATTTTCCTGCTAAACCTCCTCATTCTTAGAAGTTTAGTTTATATGTCTTAACACCTCTTTATTCGAAGACTAAGCATCACTGAGGTGTGCAGCCTCTCTGGAGATGAGTCAGAAAAAACCCTTCTTTGCAGAAGTGTGTATTCAGTATCATAGGGGTTTTTTTCAGTGTTGGTTTCTTAGTGGGGTTTCTTTCTTCTCCTCTTCAAATATTGTTTTCTCAGGTGCTTGTGAAACTGGAAGGTGGAATAGGGTTGTCTTTGGTCAACAAAGTTCCTGAAGAGCTAGTATTTGCAAGCCTCACAAGAATTAATGTCCACTACACACAACTGTCGACAAGTCAGGTGCTGGAGCTCAGTGTGCAAGACATACAGGTATTTGCCATTTTGAAACAAATGTGTTTGTTCATGGGTCTGCTGTGGGTTTTGTTGTCATAATAGTTTTGAAAAATGTTTAGAGCTGTCAAATACCATAGAAGTTTCGATTAGCGTCGACGTTTCCTTTTTTCATTGTTCTCTACTTAGTAACAGCAGAGACAATGATATATTGTATTTCATGCCGTTTATTTCTGTTAGGCAAGTTAGAATCTATTTTATTTTGTAAATGGGTCAGATTGAGATTTTTCTCCCTTCCTGGTTCTTTGTTCTTTTTCATTACATGATGAAAAAGCAGCCACTGAAAACGAGTCCTGATGCCGGTAGTACCACAGTATGAATCATAGAATTATAGACAAATAAGAGAAATATAAACCTCTTGTATTTTTTTCTAACTAGATTTTGTTTTTGACTTTGCAGAGTTTTGCCTTAACCTTTGTTTTCAGTACAGTCTTTGAAATTCTGAATTCACAAATTAAACTGAAGACTGTAAAAACTGTTCTTATTCTACTAAAAAAACCTCCTATAAATTATTAGAATTCTGTTCCCAATATGTAAGACTTCCTTGGAAGGGGAATTGTGGGTACTGGTGTAGATTACATGAGATAAATGGATACTTATATGCATCAGTCAAACTTAAACACAGGAGTAGCTTAACTCTGCAGTTGTATTAATTTTTTTGAAAAAAGAAAAGAAATCACGGAGAACATAGCAATTTTGTTACAGGTTTTGTTTGTTGGTAGGGATAACCATTTTTTTTAACGGAGGACATTTCTGCATGGTTTTTTGGTATGGTCTCAGTGGTGATCAGTAACCAAGTATGTTCAGTATCTCCCTGGCACAAGGACCAAGTATTTCTGAAAGATTTTAAGTCCTCAGTTAAAGAGGATCAGTTTTGCTGTTTATTGTCACCTATTCAGATGATGTTGTCTGTCTTGCCCACTCTGTAGGTGGACAACCAGCTTATTGGCACCACACAGCCTTTTATGCTCTTTCTGACACCGAGAATGAGTGAAAATGAACCCGTGGAGACTGGTCCTGCTGTGCAAGTAAATGCAATGAAATTTCCCAGTAAAAATGCACTGACTGATATATACAAGGTAAATTCAATCTTTTGATTGTGCCATGCAGGTATTACTCTGTGAAAATGACTTTTCCTGTCCCTAACATAATCTGAATTAAATAATTTGTGAAATACACTTTGTTGAATTAATACTGAGGCTTCAAGGATGCTGTATCCCCTTTCTCATGTTCATAGTGTTTAAAGCTACAGTACAGGGATGAATCTCCTTCTCTGGAGGTATTCAAAACCTGCCTGAACAAGGTCCTGTGCAGCCTGCTCTAGGTGACCCTGCTTTGGCAGGGGGGTTGGACTGGATGACCCACAGCGGTCGCTTCCAACCTCTAACATTCTGTGATTTTGTGAACAGGATAATAAATACGTTTAAAAATATAACAAGTTAGGCCAGACCCCTGCTTGTTCATGTCTGTGACCTTACTTTTCAAGCCAATTACTGTCCCATCAGAATTGATAGGTACCACTGTATCATAGTGAACCAGAATATCTGTGCTGTGCTTTTCATGAGCTGTGTACAAGGTTATCACTTCTCTCTGATAAGCCGTTATCTTGCGCCATGAACCCTGTTCTGTGTGCTGCAGCTGTTTGGAGACGTTGTTTGGAAATTTGTCCGCGAACTGTGGTATGCATCATGAGGGCAAAGCAGAGTTGATTGTCAAGACCTGTTTTCTTACTTGGAATCTTCATCCATGTATTCTGACGCTGTTTTGAAAAACAGCTGATTTTGGTGTTTTGAGAACAGCTGAGCATCAGATTCTGAAGTGTTAGTATAGGTAATGAAGCACAATACCTTCCAAAAAGTTAAAACAGTCGTCGCTAGTTGTAGGTAACTTTAAGTGAAGAAAACCACCAAAGACATTTTGAAGGTGGAAGTCTTACTACAAATTCATTCCAGTGAAGTAGATCACATTATCTTATGTAATGGCTTAAATGAATTATATTTCTAATGTTAATACTGCAAACTGAGACTTGTGTATCTTTGTAGCATCTGATGATCACTGCTCGCAAGTTCACAGTTCAAATTGAGGAAAAACTGCTTCTGAAGCTGTTGAGTTTCTTTGGCTATGATCAGTCTGAACCAGGTATAGTATAAAGTTACAAAGACCAGTTTTACAGTGTGCAGAGATATTATGGTCTTTGCATATAAAATAAGTTCAGAACACCTAGCAAACTCTTAGCTGCTTGGAAACTTCTGGTGCTGAACAGAAAGCTGGAAGGCTAACGTCTCCATGGCCCCCGCAGAGCTGCGCATGGATATCGTGCTGGTTACAGTGTTGGGGTAATGACCCGTGTAACATGCTGTTGTCCGGTACACGGTGGCTGAGCTGAGCCTCTATGGGAGGGAGTTCAGTATTCATCTGAAGTTCCTGTATCTGGATTCATCTAAACTGGGATAAAAAAAATTGTGTTATTAATTTAGCAAACCGCTTTGTTTAGTAATGTTTGTTTATTTAAACCCAAGGCTAGAAATGGGATCTCTGTTCATTTGTTCCTTGGGCAGTTTCTCTTACTTAACTGAAGGAAAATTTTGGCTGTCTGACCTTTTAGTTGTGGCATCCATACCCCAGGCTTTAATTGTAATACAAGTTTTCTTCCCTTCAGTGAGGCACGGCAGAGCTCTTGAATCCTCTAATCTCAAAGATGATGTTCTAATCCTTCTCTTCTAGGGTTTATCTGTACTTTGGAAGCTTTCTGAAATGTCGATTTTGGAGTGGCAATTTAAAAAGTCACTTTTATTATGCAGTAGGATGTGGGGGGTTATATAAGAAATTAACTATTGCAAAAAAACCTATTTTTGGCATGATTTCAAATGGGGGCAAGCCTACAAATGATGGTGAAGAGGTGTTTGTCTTGGTAATCCACAGTATCTTCTGAATTGTCTCTGAAAAAATACGAGTATTACATTTCCCAGTTTCATAGAGGGCTTCACAGGGGACTTGAATTTGTAGTGATAAGGAAGACACAAAGATCTGGAGTTTGGTCTTATGCTGTTTACTAATCTGTCCTTTGTTTTGGTTTACTCTGATGCTTCTGCTGTTTTTCTTGTTTCCTTACTGTACACTCTTTGTAGTTTATCCACTGATGCTGATGATGTCATCCAAGATTCGTACAAAAATTATTTTGTCATTTACATTCAACATGTTGAATTGTTCAACCTGAGTTCATACAGCTTTGTTATCTTTCGTCTTTCCCCCGCCTTCACGCACCACCAAGGTGCTCTTACAGATAACATAGGAACCTGTTAGTGTCAACCAAATTTGGCTCACTCTGTCCGTAAATTGATTTATTGAATGTCTTCCACATAGGCATTTTGTCGATTGTGTGGTGATAACTGTAAAGACTGACAACTTGACTTGCTTTGTACATTGTATTGATAGTTGAGCATGTAAGGAAGCACAGAGAGGTAGAGAGAGGAAAACATACTGTAAGATTGTGACTACGCAGTATCATACTACATTGTGTAGTTATGTTTGTATGTCCTTGTTTCTGTATGCTGACAAAGGTAAGTTAGAAGTGACATTAAAAGCTCAAATAAAAAAAAGTCATCCAAGTGCATAGTTTAAGTTATCTAGCTACAAATACATTCCGGTTTTAGAGATACAAGCAGATTGAAAAAAATTCTTGAGCCTCAGAGGTCAACTTCATGTCACAAGGCATGAGTAATTTTGCTGGCTACACTAGCAGTTGCACATACTTTTTATTTGTACAGAGAAGCTATTAACTCTTTACTGAGTATGCATTCATAACCCTATATTTATTTATATATAATCTGTTCTCATCCGTATGTTTTGTCTGGATGCAGAAGTTGAAAACTATGATGAAAACCTCCATGACAAGGTTATTGAACAAGGTGGAGCACAAAAGCGATACTACTTTGAAAATCTGAAAATTAGTGTGCCTCAAATAAAGTTGAGTGTCTTCACTTCCAACAAGCTGCCTTTGGATCTCAAGGTACGCCAGCACATTCACAGAGTATGCTTTCAAGTAAAGAGATCCTGTTGTAGGAGGAAAAGGGAAAAGAAGCTCTAACTTACTACAGTTAATTTCCATTTACTCTTCCATTATTTAAGTTACACAAAATAGCAGTTCCAATAGCTTCTGTTATTTTATTTGCATAATTTGCAGTCTTGTCTGTAATATCCTTTCATTTTTGTAATTTTAGTTGACACACAGCCAACTTCACCCAATAACGCACTCTCTTACAAAGAATCTTAGTTACATTAATGGTAACGTAAAGAGCTTAAAAGGGAGTGACTTACCTACCATGTGGGAGGGCTGAGGCGAGGGTGAAGAAAAGTAAGTTGTTGCTCAATTTAGGGAGCAGAAATACAGGACAACTCTGACAACTCTTGAGTGTTTTCATCCAAAAAATGTGGTCTCACTGGAATTGGAGGGTTTGCATGAGCACTGTGCAATTTGGTTCAATATTAAAGTGAACTGAGGTTGAGTGTGTACTTAAGTGGAAAATCTCGTCCTTTTCATGTGGTAATAAATGTTCTGGTAGAGTTGTTCAGATGAACAAGGGATTCCAAATTACAGCAAGAAAATAATCTCATCCGGGGTTCCCAGCTTGTGTGTTGGGAGCTTTTAAAGATGTTTAGTCTTGAATGAATGTATATCATGGAGTCCTACCACGATGATCCAGAATATCATCAGTCCTGCATTCTTGTATTGCTTTACCAGATCCTGGTGCAAAGGAGGACAATTCCACAGCTAGCTGTAACGTTTCTTAGCGTTCAGCATCATCAGCAATGTCTTGAATGTGTTTGCGCTTTAGCCTCAACGTGAAAATACCTATCATCCGATTATCTGAAATTTAGAGAGAGGAAGAGTGTTAGCGGTGAGAGCCTTTAAGAAACCAGTAACGTGCGCTGTTCTGTTTGGATTTCCTCCTGCCTTTGGTATATGATTGCCTATGGATATGCCTTGGCAGCCGCCAGCATTGTTCCCAAGGGAAAACTCAGCGTATGCATTCCTCCCCCATGAGAACAGTCACGGACTGTATTTTGTATATTAACTTTCACAGAAAGAGTTCCATTCAGGTTTGTAGCATAGGAGAGTTCAGGGTAGGAGGGAGAGTATAATCACAGTAGAGCCTTTGTAGAAGTTTTTCTAACTACCTCTAATGTTTCTGGCTTGGACGTTGCTGTCTGGTAATTTGGTGTAGACAGATTATTTTTATTAGGTACCAGTATTAACAAAGTTGCCTTATGTAATATCTGATAGTTAAACAGGAAATTACTTCCTACCCAAGTGAATAATGAGGACTACTCTAGTTAGTCATCCATTTACTGAAAAAATAAATAGGTAATTTCTTGCTTGCAAACTTAAATCAGACATGTAATTTATTGTAATTGCCTGCAGATGGCAGAAAAACTCATCTTTACTACTACCAAGCGTGCTTTAGTGATTAACGTAGAAGGATATAACACGCATATCGGGCTTCTTGCCGCCTTCAGGTTTTCTGATGTTAGTGACTGACAGATGCCATTATCAAGACCTGAAATAGAAGGAATCTCTTTCTTTCTTAAAAGATCAGATTTCCTGTTATTTTTTCATAAATTATTTTATTCTTGTGTGTGTATATATAGATGTATAGCTTGTCCACCTTAAATATGGTTTTTCATGTATAGACTGTACAGGTTACAGATGGCCCATGGGCTCATTACTGTCTTAGTTTTTCTTCCTTGAAAATAAATGAAAAACTGGTTTACAGAATTGTGGTATACCACATAATGTTAAGAAATGAGCCTCCGGTTTGCAGGAAATTATATATGTTACTCCTGTTCATCCGGACACTTAATCCATTCGTAGAACTTTAGCAGTGTGGAAAATAGCCAGTTTTGTCTTCACCACATATCAAGGAAATTCATTTAGGGTTCAGTTTAATTGAACATTAGAGCAGTTACAGCAAACTGCTGAGCATGGAATCTTAAACACATTTTGTTTTGAAATAATCCTATCAAGTGTAGGAAACTGATTGCATCAGGAACAGTGTTAATGACTAGTTATTGAAGAAGTGCAGTTTTAATAATTGATCATTGCTTACAAGTAAAAATTTTTATGGAGTGATTGCTCTCTATGTCAAAGCATCTACACGGCAGTGGAAAACTGCTCTAGCAATGTCAGATGATTTTGGTTTGCTACCCATTTAAAATTAATTCATTTGGGTGGTGTGAATGAGAAGTAGAGAGAAAAATTAATGCAGCGATGTCTTTTATTTAATTAGGCGTTGAAAAGCACCCTGGGATTTCCTCTAGTCCGATTTGAAGATGCTGTGATTAATCTGGATCCTTTCACTAGGGTCCATCCATATGAAACTCAGGAGTTTATCATTAATGACATTCTGAAACACTTTCAACAGGTAAGTGTCATACGGGTTGTATTGTGGCAAAGGCTGAACTTCCCTGGATTGAGGAGTTCTCTCAGGAGCGTGGGGGAGCTTTCTTGACCATTTACTGAAGTGGTTGTGCTGTATGGCTTCTTTGGTATACGGAGAAATAGCATCACGTGCTTCTAAGAATACACGGCATTTTAAGATGAAACTGTTGTTGATCTTGCTGGTATTTGTATGTTCATGTTTTTCAGTAAAACTGTTTATTTCTTCATTAATGCTATGTGGTTTTATATGTGCTTTTATTGCAGGTGGACTTTTTTTCTTCTGTTAATCAACCTTGCTGGTGTTAATGTGATCCGTAAGTGATGGCTCATTCTTCCTGTTGATTTTACAGGAGCTGCTTAGCCAGGCAGCAAGGATTCTTGGTTCTGTGGATTTCCTTGGCAGCCCTATGGGTCTGTTGAATGATGTTTCAGAAGGTGTTACTGGACTTATAAAGTACGGCAATGTTGGTGGTCTCATAAGAAATGTCACACATGGAGTATCAAACTCTGCTGCAAAGGTAATAATTACGATATTAAAGTTTGCTAAAACAATAAGCAAAAACTAGTCAGGAAACAAGTCAAATACAATTACTGATCGTCTTTCAGTTGCTTTATGTCCTGTTTGTTGTGTAAAAATTGTGTTTGAAGTTTAGATTTTTCTTTTTTAAATGTTTTATATATACACTTCAGGGATGCCAGAAGCCCTGCAGGAGTCAATGAAACCACCCAAGGCCTTGTTATTGATCTACACCTATTTTGCAGATAGAACACAGTAGTTGGCCAGAGTGAGAACTAAAATGTTGTTCAAGTGTGGCGTCATCTCCTATGTGCAAATGAACAAAGTTATGTTCTATTATGTATATAATATATATAGAAAGAGAATTACAGAAATGTGGAGTATTTAAGGGGTTATGTAGTACAACAGGAGTTGTTAACTTCAATTTTTGTAAAGTGATTAAGCTGATATGAATATCAAGTATTATGATAACGCTTGAGGGTTTTGTTTTTTTTTCCTATGCCACATAGCAACGAACTAAGCAATTCCTAGATAGCTACGCATTTATCTTTAGTGTAGTTCCAGAGTCTCCGCATGGTGAACATTTCTTTTGTCTTTCCTGATAACAACTAAGCGAATTATGTCGGTGTTACCAGTGAAAGTAACTACCTTTAGTGCCTGAGAAAGGTGTGATCTGAGACAGCAGCCGACAATAGGAAGTGGTTTTGATCATGGTCGATGCTGTACTTGATACTGAACAAACATGTTTTTGAAATACTGTTCATTACATATGTGGGGTATCAACATGTACTGTAAATGAACTTTGTGGTCATGGGTAGAACTGGACTAATGCTTTCTTCACATAAGGACGTGTTGTTAAAATTTGGTTTTGTGAAAATTCTTTAATTCCTATTGTTTTCATTTTCCAAACTGGTAAGTTCATACATGTATATTATCATGGTTCATCCTTTCACAACCTGTTCCGCTTATTTGTGTACAAGGAAGTCTTACTTTTTTCCCCACATTAGTGGGAAAAGGTAATTCAGAAGATGAGAAAGGTGAAAAGTAGAGTTTGCATAATTACAGATAGCTTGAGACTAACATCATCAAACCTGGTTAAACTGCCATAGAGATCCCCAGTCCATCGCCAAGGGCACAGCTGTGAGCATATGTAACACAGATAGTTGAACCATGAGGAAAGATGACATATGTCTTCTGTAGCATAATTATCTTGTTCCCAGCAGTGCCCATTTTGGATAATTTCAAGAAATTCAGAATATCGTGTTGTTGATATGCCTGCCTTAATCCCATACTAGGTTGATTCTGTGGTGATCAGCACTGCAAATACAAGCTTCTCCAAGCAGTTTGGTAGAAGCGGTACGGAGCTTCTGGAAGGCGGTATCCATCTGTGCAAACGAGTATTTTTGTCCATACTTTCTGCTCGTGGTTCTAGTCTCTTGTGACCCATCCGCTCCACCCAATAGAGTATGTTTCTTTAGAGTTTCCTCTCTGTAAAGTGTTTCCTCATTGCAGTCACATCTGCAGCAACAGTCTCATAAATCTTTCTTTAAAAGGCACGAGCCTTCCTACGTTTCCCACAAGGGCAAGGTCATTCTTTGAACTTTGGAGTCATTTGTAACCGAGGGTTTTCTGAAGGAAGATTTTCAAAGGCAGAAGGGCAGCTGGATGCTGAACTCCTTTCAAAATTCAACAGGAGCTGAGTGCCTGCTTCCCATCTATACCTTTGAAAATCACCCCATGTACTATTTATCTGCCTTCCCAGGTATTTTTTTTTCTTTCTCCTTGATATATCTGAAATGCGTGATGCAAGTCTCACACAACTGCCTTTTAAAAACTTTTTATATGGATTATGTATTTGTACTTAATAGTACATTATGGGATTCCATCATTAATCCTCCTTCCAAAGGATGGATCTTCATTCTGCTACATAGAAGATTATGGTAAAAAAGGCTCAGATAATCAGGATTAATTCTTCCCTATATGTTGCACTGCTTTTACGTGTCTAAATCTGCTGGAAGACTAAGCCAGGAAGTCCCTGTGATAAAAAAATTGACATTTCAAGTACAATTTGTGATGTGTTACGTGCGTGGTACAGTGTAGAACTTTGTCTTTTACTCCTTTCTACTCTACCATGTATATGCCTTACGGTTGTGTCTAGGATGTGTGAAGTTCTAGTAACGAAAAAAATAGGGGGGGGGGAAATAATTCAGATTACTCAGGAAAAACATGGCAGAAACAAAAGATCATTTTCATTTTTTTTAAAGTAAAGTATATTTTCCGCTGCGTAGATTCTCACCTGATTCAGCTGTGCCACAGAGGTCCTCATCTTTGCAGCTTCTTCTGTGGAGCTGGTAACTGATGCAGCCCAGACGAGATGAGCCTGTCTTCTGCACAGAGACTGGTGGCTGGGGAAGATACCCATTGTGGCTGGTTTGGGTACCTGACTTTTGAAGTGTCTTAAATAAAAACCTATCCTAGATTTTAAGAGAAGGTAGCTTTTAGGGTGTGAGTAGATAGATAAACTTTAATACTCTAATCATCGTTTTAGAAGTAACACTGCTTGACTGAATTGAGAAGTAAGCTGTTTGAGTTGTACCTGGTTTTGTCATTTTATTGCTTTTCTATTTTATAGTTCTGTTGGTTATCCCTGTAATGGCTTTTCCATGCGTTTCAGAACATGCAGTGGTAATGCCTTCTTTCAAGTGGAGAGCTGCAGTGTATTTAAGTTGGCACAAAACCTTAGGTTAAATAAAGTTCACTACAGACAGTTTTGCAGTTTTTATCCCTTGGGGACTCCAAGTTCTGTATTTTAAAAAGTTCTTTGATCCTAAATATAGACACCTGAGGGAATTTCATTCCCTCTGAATGGAGACTTCTATAGTTGCCATATGCATAGACATGTCTTGCATTCTTGGCATCCACACTTTTATTTCCCCCTTTAGGCGTGATAGTACTAGATCCTAAATTACTCTTGTTCCAGAGGTGTTTCAATTAGAAATGAATATTGAACACTGAATTAGCATCTGAACAAAAATGTTCTGTAGCTTGTGCTCTCCAACTGAAAATTCAACGTGGTTGTTTCTATTACTGGCAAATAGATGTTGTGCTGACACAGTGAAACTCCTGGTAGTAAAGGTTTGAAAAGATTAATCACCTTGTCAATACTGTATTTCATTGGTCTGATTCCTTCAGCCCTTACAAGGAATTCTGTTATGTTTTATGAATTATGAGCACATAGTAATGTAGTCGTTACGACTCTGCAGCTAGGCTTAGTTTCTGGAGAGAGATATGCCTAGGATGGAGATAAATGTTGTGTCTCTCCCTTCCTCCCCCCCCCCCCCCCAAATTCATTAACTTCTTGAAAGAGCTTAGTTTTCGTATCGAACTTTGAAGTTGCCAGTGAGAAATCTAATTAGGCTTCTTAAGGGGTAGACAGTCAGCCCCAGTTGCATTCCCTTGTTAGGTTTCTGTGGCAGCTCGCGGAGTTGGAGAGGCAGGCTCCCTTGGGCTTGGGAGCAGGCACCTGGGGGGCCAAAACTTACATATTGAGGAGTTGCAACAAATAGTGTGGTGGGTGTTCATTTTGCTTTATGGCTGAGGAAGAGGCACAAATGAACTTCTACCCTGGGCTTTTGTTACATATATTTATTTAATTCTATTTTATTTATTTAATTAAAATATATTTAATTTCATTTAATTAAATTTTTTTTTAATTCTGTTCACAGTGATGGCAGAGCTATTTAAGCGATTAACAGAGATATGAAAAGTAGTAGGGTGTGGGAACCAGATCAGAGAATTATAAGACTAGTAAGGATACGAGTATTGCTTCAGGTGAGTGTTTGACATGAAATCATTTGTAGAAAAGGAACTTCAAAGCAACACAGAGGGAAACAGGAGTTTAACCCTCATTGTAAGATAAATCAAAGCAGAATCTCAAGTGGTTGGCAGTGACATAAAAATAAAGATGACTGAATGGAAAGTGAAGAGGTAGTAATAAAGGGATTATTTAAAAACAAATCATGAACGAGTGTTTGACTTGCATGGATGTTAACTTTAACAAAACTGGCAATAAATAAGGTGAGAAGTGCATCTAGCGAGCACAGAAGGTAGGTACAATTTAAGCAGGTTCTGCCCAGGAAGAGACAGAAATGTTTCTGCAGCAGTCAAAGCTGATGGTTCCCTGTTGTTTAAAGTTTCTTGGTTTATGTGACCAACCACTCTGACTTGATACCGTTCAGAAGCAAGAACAACCGGCATTCTGGCGTCTTTGGAGAGGCTGTGGTCAGTAGTTCTAGGAATATTAGCTCAAAACACAATTCAAGTACCTGAAAAAATAACCCTTATCTTGGCAACAGGGAACTTGTGACAAAAGCCTTTGTATATGAATCCTGAGAAAGAAGCACAGTGTTGTTTTCCTCAGGACAGCATTCAACAAAATAGTCAACTGAGAATGTAGAAAGATCATGGTGGCATTTGGGTTCTGAGTTTCCTACCTTTTTATATTTTCACGATTATCTTTTGACTCCTTGCTCTTCTGTTTAACTGTGAACAGCAGCACGTGTACGATTACTGGCAGTCTCTTACTGGATGAGAATGAGGAAGGCTGGAATACATGTCATCTTTCTGGTCAACTTTAAAGATTTAAATTTGGGTTTTACTTTGGGAAAGCTGGCAGTCATCCTGTACAAGGGTAGTCTAGGTATTGAGGCTGTGGGATTTAGCAGCAATTGCCATAAAAAGTTTTTTCTATTCCCAGAAGTGATTCATCCAGTTCAGGTCAAATGTGGCTTTCCCTGAGTTTTCTTCTGTGTAACATTAAGGTTTTTCTCCTGGTTGTCTGGGAGCTACCGCAGTTTGTTCAGGTAACGCATCCAGGCGGCCCTGCAGGTCATCTCCAATTTAACTTGATTTGCACTCAAAGACTAGCAGTTCATGGGCAGGGTGAGTGCTGAGCAGTGAGAATCTGTATGAAAATGCACAGATCGTGAGGTGGAAAGTAAC